TACTAAAACTCTTCGCTTGTCGGGGTGATTCTTATGAGTGGATTTTCTGCCCTCTACACCCGCGACCCGCCCGCGACCCGCCCGCGACCTATTAGCGACCCACCCGCGACCTACCCACTTTGGTTTAACGAAAAAATCGGCGCCTGCGGCGGGTTCGTTGTATAATTTGTGAAACTTTGGCACCTGTGGCGGGCTTCTCCAGAGCCTCGCAAACTGCCGATGTCCCCACCTCTCCCTCACTCTTATCCGCATCTGCGGGGTGCTACGTATTATTCCTTGGATCTTTCGGCCATCGGCAACGAAACCATTTCTGGAGCGTGCGCTAGACATCCGCTGGAGTCAATGGGAGCCAAACGGCAGCCAGAAGTGCGACAGCTGGGGCCAAGAGGCGGTGGTGGTGATGATTACGGTGATGATGATGATGATGATGATGATGATGATGAGGAGGAGGAGGAGGAGGAGGAGGAGGAGGAGGAGAGGAGGAGAAGAGGAGGAGGAGGAGGATGGAGGAAGAGGAGGATAGAGAAGGAGGAGGAGGAGAAGGAGGAGGAGGAGGGGACTGAATGAAGCCACCAAGGGCCCAGCGGCCACCTAGAAGACCAGCGGCCACGGCCAATAGGCGGGGGAGGGGGAGCCGTAGGAATCCGCAGGTGCCCATAAGGAGCCAAGCAGCGAAAGGGAAGTTCGACGTCTATAGAGGAACCACAGAGGGCCCAACACATCAGAGCGAGGGGAGCGCACGGTCTTACACAGTCCCTGGGTGCGTGGCTGTAATGTGGGTCCGCGGGCGGATTGTCTTTGAACTCCCCTATTTCTGAAGAGCGATTATTCTTGATACCACCTCACAGGTGCCCATTTTCAATTGAAATTCCCCCTCGGGCCTCGCACCCTGTCTTCAAACAGGCGGAATATTCCTGCTCAGACTGCTTTGTTGGGCCCCAGACTAAATCAACAACGACTCCCGCCTGTCACTTTCTTGCAGCTCATTCAAAATCAAATCGCGCTCTCGGGCAGGAACCCCTCACAGCTTGTTCACAAATCGTGCTTTCGCTGAGGACCGCCTTGCAATTTATTCGGGCGCAGCGCCCCCGACGCCCAGGAATCGCGCTCTCGCGCGATTCATCCTTGCAGGTTGCTGAGGACTCGTGCTCTCGCCCGAGGCCCCTTCGCGATGCTCAAACTTGGCTTCAATGCCCCCGCTCACCCGACCCGCCCGTTGGAGCCCTCCCGCCCGACCAACCCTTTCGAGCCCGCCCGCCCGACCCGCCAGTTAGGGCCTCCTGCAAATGATTCTTCGCCCTCAATCCTCCTCCGTCCCTCTTGCCCCTCGTTCCTCACGATGTCCTCGGTCTCTCCCTTTTCCTTTTCCCTCTTCCTCCTCCTCCTCCTCCTCCTCCTCCTCTTCTTGGAGGCCACGCCAACTACACATGACAGACAATGAAGATATGCCCCCGAAGGAAGTACGATCGAAGACGAAGAGGGCGGATATCGAGGGGGTTGGGGTTACACATGGGTATATGACACGCGAGCATCGCAGAACGAACGATATTAAACTTATTATTATGCTCGCTCGTGTTCTTGCCGTCGTCGGCGCGGGTGGGTCGCGGCGGGGCTGGGCGGAAAACGGGTGGGACGCGGGGCGGGTGGGTCGCGGCGACCCCTCACTCTGATCCGCAACTGCGGGAGACCAGATGAACTTTCGGAGATCCGCGCAGGTTTCTTGGATCGGCGCGGGCCCCCCCGCATCGTCACTGGCGCATATCAGCAATCCGTGCGGAGATCCGAAATTTCATGTTTTGTGCCGTCTCTCTCCTTTTCGAATCCAAGGCCAGTGAATGGGGAGAGGAAGAGGCGAGAAGGGGCCCCGACATACGTTCAGACGGCCCTATGAGAGCACGGCGGTTGGGCTGGAACCAGGGATGCACTCTGGATCCCTGTATCTCGCCATCGCTCGGACGTTGGCTCCCCGTGCATTGTTCGATGTCGTGCGTGTATGTTTCAAAAGGTGATTCAGGATGTTCCCCTGGTCCTAGCCTACACAAAGTGGACACGTCCGAGCGATGCCAGGGTGATGCACTTCGGATCCCTGTCTGGTTCATGGGCGTGACGCTCGCGGAGGAGGGGAAGGGCGCCGCCGACAATGACGAGGAGCAATAACCAAAACCAGCTCGGCCAAAAACCTACTCTCCGGATGAGAGGGGGAGCCAGCACGCGACACCCTTGGCAAGATGGTGGGGGAGCCAAGAGAAACCATGGGAGAGGCCGAGCGGCTGCCAAGAAGCGCCACGTCTGTAGATTCCAAGCGAGGGCCCCTCCGTGCAAGCACTCTTCGGGACAGACGTGCCCATTCCGACGGCCGTGACCCACCGTCCCTCTTCTCCGTTCTCCTCTTTCCTGTCCCCCCGTTCCTCAACACTCGGGGATGGACAGACCCCCCTTTAGTAAAACGTGGTTTAGTGAGAACGACCTGAGGCCCAAACCTGGCGGGCACAAGCCTGGAACATAACGGCCACGGCGCCCTCTCGAAAACCGAAAACGGACAATTCACTGATCGACGGGTCACTGTTGGGGGTCCTGTCCCCCCGTCCCTCAGCACGCACGACACGAGCGTCGAATGCTGCGCTGAATCTCTTGCACACGCGCTCGTGGCTTGCTTATGGAGGTGGACGGGTCGCCGTGCGAGCGGGGTGCACAGGAGTAACATATGTATGCATCGTCGTGCTGCACCTGCATCTTTCCGATCTTGAGCGACAGGCAGGCACACAGAGATGGAGGCCAGCACTGAACAGCGGGCACTGGTGCAGTGTGGGCTTCAAGGCCTGTGTATCTAATTGACTACAGCCATTGGGCAGGCGCATGCCTCGATATGCTCCAAGCTCCGAGCGTCCACTCCATACCTTTGCCGTGAATCTCGATCCTGCTGCTCCTCTGCTGCTGCTCCTCTGGTGCTCGTCTGCTCCTCTGCCCCTCTGACCTCTGCCACTCCTCCCCCTCCTCCCCCTCCTCCTCCTCCTCCTCCTCGTCCTCCTCCTCCTCCTCCTCCTCCTGCTCCTGTTCCTCCTCCTCCTCCTCTCCCTCCCTTGCCCGCTCCTCCTTCTTCCTTCTTGCTCCTCCTTTTCTCCTCTTCCTGCTCTGCCCTCCTCCTCCTCCTCCTGCTCCTCCTGCTGCTCCTCCTCCTCCTCCTCCTCCTCTTCATCCTCCTTCTCCTCCTCCTCTTCCTCCTCTTCTTCTTCCTCCTCCTCCTCCTCCTCGTTCGCCCCTGCCCAACTGCTCACTGTCCCGTGGAGGAGCCGCTCTCGGGGGCCTCCACTCCCAAGACCTCCCGCGTTATTCTTCGCGGCTTTGCGTCAAAGTCTGGATCTCGATCCAATCTTTCCCACGTCTTCCCCGCAGTCGAAGACTTATTGGACTCCCCAGAAGGATCCGGCGTGGGCCTCCCGAGGCCAAAACTCACAGAACAGCAACATCGATTTTTTCAACGATGCTGGAGGCCAGCGTCTCCACCACAGACCGTTGCAGTTCCCCTCGCCCCACGCGCAAATGCGCCAAACACAACGGGCCAGTGAAGGCGCAAATGCACCAAACACTCACGAATGACATGACGAAGACCCCCCCCCCATCCTCCTCATCGTTCCTCCTTTCCTGCCTCCTCCACTTCTTCCTCCACCCCATCGATATCTCACAAGCCTCGTCCTCACCGCTGGCAATGCCTCGCAGATCCCCACATCTGAGGAGAACAAGGCATGAACAATAACATCCGGATGCAATGAACGATAAATTCGGCCGCCTTCGGGTAAGGATATCCTCATTTCTCCCACCCCCATCCTCCCAACCCGATAACTGTCTTCCTGAACGTCTGGTTCCTCTCAGGATTCTCCAAGAATCTTGATACTGCTTCGCTTCAGCGTCTTTTGCTGTTCCTCCCTCCGCCTCATCCTCCGTCCTCTCCGAGTCCAAGCAATACGCTGCGCTGATATATAGTGCCTGCCCTGGATCTTTGCAGTAAGGGCAACAGAAAAATCGATGCTCGGTGAGCAGTGCGTCTCCGCCTTAACATCACTATGGCCTCTCGGACGCAAATGGAGACTCGGGCGAGCGGGAGAGGCGGGGTGAGAACACTTCCGGGTGGGTCCCTCACCAGGCCGACTTGAATCCGCCAGCCTCGAAAGTCCCAACTCCTGTCACAGGAGGGAATCTGTCGCGTCCTGGATCCGCTCTTCCAGAAACGGCCCCTGGAGGCCGAATTCGACGCAAAACGTGGCGACTGGAAACGTCCATCCGCCAGAGGTCCGGGCACGGGCAGATGCATGAGCGGGGGCGGCTGAAGCGAGCCAGCGTGAGGCGGGCGAGCACGCGTCTGTACCTAGACTCGAATTGGGGGTGTTGGCAGTATTGGCCAGACCCGTGGCGCTGCGGCGGCCGCCTCGGGGTCGGCGCATGGGTGGGCGATGGGTCCTCCTCCTCCTCCTCCTCCTCCTCAACCTCCTCCTCCTCCTCCTCCTCTTCCTCCTCCTCCTCCTCCTCCTCCTCCTGCTCCTGCTCCTCCTCCTCCTCCTCCTCCTCCTCCTCCTCCTCCTCCTCCTCCTCCTCCTCCCCTTCTGCTCCCCCCCGGTGTCCTCCCAGCCGTTCTGGCTCAATTGTTGCTGAGCTTGGCGGTGCAAGCTTCAGGACGGCACAGTGCATCACCGAGCTACAGTGGCCCACACGACTGTCTTCAACACATGTTCCGATGGCTCGCAACGGAGGCTGGTCGCAGCAAGCTTGACCACGCTGGGTCAGCAGCGGCTGCGGCGGCAAGGGTGGAAGCGACCGCTGGTCCGACCGAGGGTGGACTGGGCCTGGGGCCGCGCGTGGCGGACAAGACGCCAGGACACCCACGCCGCCACCGCCTCCACAATGCCGCTGGAAGTGCGGCGAGTGCGGGTGCCGCAAGAGCCTGGCAGGGTGGCCTGGTTGCAAGCACTGTGGGGCAGTTCGTTGCGGTGCTGCCAGGGCTGGTCATGGTCTCGGCGGGGATCGTGACGGTGCAGGCGGTGCCCACGAGCTGGCCCGCGCTTCCCCACCGCCCAGGGCCGCTGCTCACGGCTCCTCCTCCTAGCGGCGGCGCCGCGCCTGGCAGCAACACGCCGTCTGTGGCGGGGCTTCGCACCGTGATCGACCTGTGCAAGCTTGTCGGCGACACGGACGGGATCGCGAAGTGACAGGCGGGACGTTTCAAGGTTGAGCCGCCTTCTGCGCCTCCTGAGCCCGTTCAGACTCGTGCATCGAAGGCCCATTCTCGCACTTAACACTTGGGGCGCAAGCTTGCTCAGGAGATTGGCGAGCTTGAGAAGGCCCAGCATAATCTTGCATCGCAGCAACTCGTCGTGCAGGACATCGGACATCGGACCTGCAGCTGTCGCCGGCGGGGGCGTCGCAGGTTGGCGCCGTGGCACCGGGCACGTGTGAGACAGATGAACAAACAACACTTACGTGAACATGCTACGCTACAACATGCAATATACTACAAAGAAGAAGAAGGATCAGGCGCCGTCCTGCCTACATACGCCGCCTCAAGCAATTCCCATTTGTCGGAAAGGGCTTTTGAAATCCAGTCGGGCCCTGCGTAACGTACAATATCATCCGACCACCGCTTCTTCGGATGACCCTGTCGCCGTCGTGCACCCAGTGTTGTATCGCATCGAGGGTCCCATCGTAACGCCTGTGATGTCCATTCGTATTCTGCCACACTGCAAATTTTCTGAACCCACCTCCATTTCCATTGGCGTAGGATCGTGACCCAATCGGAAATCGTCGTGCAGGAGGCCAGGTCTAACCTCGACGAGGCGGGCGAGGTCTACAAGCAGATCGTGGCGGAGCTCGCTGGCGGCATCATTGCTCCACCTGTGCTAGGCACCCCTCCTGCTGTGCCGCCGAAGCTGCTCAAGATCGAGGACAACGTTTCTTGTCAGGCGAAGGCATTTGACCCCATCGACACTGCTTCTCTGTTCACGGTCGACACGGGCATGTGCGAACGCACCGCTTAGGACACGCGGGAGCTCAATTCACGGCGTGAACTGCTCAACGCTCTCGAGCTGACAGAGCCCGTGCTGCCTCAGCTGGGAAAGTGTCTGGCAAGTAAGATCCCCCTGTCGGTGATGCGTGCTGCCGACGGCCTCGTCGAGAGAGGGGGGTGCACTCATTATGTACTTCTTGGAGAGTCGCTCTACGAGCTCATGGGGATGCTCGGGCTTCTGAGTTGGCCGCTTGCTTGCTCATTTTCTCCTCGGCGCAACTCGCGCGAGTTCTGGAGATTTCTGTTGGCCAATCCGGCCACGCGGGAGAGCGCGAGCCATGGGGGCCGTCCCCGTCGGAGTGCTCTTTCCAACTGCCTCTCGGCCTCTTCCGCCGTCGCCCTGGTGCGGGGCGTGAACAGGCCGGCTCTGCCCCCTTCATTTTTCGGGGGTCGGCTGGTGCAGCCGACTGCTCTTCCCTCGCTTGAGAGCCAGCCTTCCGCGTGCAACTCCCCTGCCTGGAGCTCGGCCCACGATTGGCTTCTTGCCGCATCTGCCCACGTGCTTCTCCTTTAAGGGGTACCGCTTGGGCGTGGAGCGGATCCCTGACGCTCAGCAGTGGGCGCTAAGGCGTGGTTGGAACGCGCTTCTGCTGCCGGCTAAGGTTGCTTCCCAGACGGGGAATTACCTCGGCAGGCATGGGGATCCTCTGCAGGCACTTCGCTGGCCCAGTCGAGCCCCCTGGTGAGGCTGAGCTCGTGGCACGTCGGGCCATCGAGGCCTTCGTGAACCTCGGTGGCCATGATCCGATATGCGCTCTCAATTGCTACTTGCGCGATTGCCATGGCCTGTCAGACCATAACCAATCATTCTCCACAAGGTTGGCAACTTTGTTTCCTTTCCTCCCGGAGGAACCATAACCGGGGGTAATCTTGACGTGGGGCCATGCGTGTCAGGCCAGAGTAAATTTGTTGAGGAGCTCGAGGGGCAACTGCTCTCGTCGGGTGCTCCCGCCTGCGCGCCCACGTCGAATGCTGGCTCGAAAAACTACAACTACTTCGTGGCGCCCAGTGGTCTGCCTAGAGGAGTTGAAACTTTGGGGGGTTGATCGCATCGCCCCCCTTTCTGCCCATGCCCCTGTGTCCGTGAAACTCCACTCGCAACTGTATGAGCTCAAGGTGGTCTCAACGTTTCGCAAGCCCCCTCCTCTGCCCTCGGCTGTCCCGATTGGTCCGCCCCCCTGCCCCCCCGACTGGGCCGCTGAAGAATAATTGGCTGAGGAGGTCTTGCGGGCCGCTGGGTCCCGGCCCGAGAAGGCTGGAAGTGCGTTTGCGAAGCTCTACCGCGTCCAGGCCGAGAAGTCTGCTACGCGGGGCCCTGCTGCGTGTCTTCCCCAAGTTCGGCTGCAGGGGTGGCGTTCCTCAGACGTGGCGGGTCGACATTCGCGGGCGAGACCGCCGCCCCTGCAGAGGCGCCCGCAGCTGCGCAGTGCTCGCAGATTGTGCCCTCCCTTTCGTGCTTGGCGCCAGTTGAGGTGGCCGCCGATGGGTGTTGCCACTCGGGGTTCATCGGCGGTGGTCGGTGGGCACGGGTCGATGTGCCGCAGCAGCCCAGTCGGATGCCACCCTATACTAGAGGACCCCTCCTGAGGATGCTAGTGGGAGGGAGCTCGCCGACGGCTCACTTACTGAACCCCTCTAAAAATCTCCAGGGCCAAGTCGGTTCAAACGTTCGCGGCTACCTTGCGTCGGGTGTCCAAGATTCTCTCCGGCCTAATGTGCAGCCTGTCGGTCAGGCCGACTCTCTGCTCGACTTGCTGAGTGGCGACTTCAGCAGAGCCATGTCTTCGCGCGGCAGGAAGGTGAGCAGTCGTGGAAGAAATGGCGTCAAAGGTACTTGGGCCACGGGTATCGCTCTGCCCACCTGTGGACCAGGCCTGTTGAGGCGTGGGTTCCCTCCTTGACCCTTCCTTCTCGAGGCCGGGTGGTTTACGACCCCCTCGCGCTCCTGGAGGCTGAAGGCCGTCGCTTTTCTGAATTGTGGGTGGCCGATGCGTCTGTTGAGGGTTACGATGCGCATGCCCACTTTGTGCCTCTGGAGCGCATTTCCAAGATCGCCTGATCAGCTCCGACAGGCCGGCCGTGACTGCGGGGGTCGTTCCGCGGTTGCTGTGGGCGGGTTCCATCTGAGACACTTCAGCAGTCTCTGCGACAGGGCACTCAGGGTCCTTTCTTGCATGTTGGCTGCGTGTGAGGTGTCCTCCTCGTTGCCACTTCAGATCCGCCTCGTGGCTATGATCCAGAGACTCATGGGAGGGCTTCGACCCATGGTGTTTTTGAGGCCACGTGCCGCATCTGGGGAACAACTCGCGCGGTCTTGTGCTCTCGAGGGGGAACAAGCCCACTCGCGTTCCTTTTTTCGGAGGCTACGATTTCGAGAGCGCCGTGGACGTAGTCTGGAGACGAACTCTTGGAAGTAAGCATTCTGTTCGGCGAGGTGAGAATGCCGCGTCTGTCCTCTGGGACTTGCACAGAAAGTACGAATAGATCGACCTCGAAGACCTGTCCACCAAATGCTCAGATGAGGGGTTTCTTACCGTGATTTCCCGCATGTGCAGTTACACGTGCAAGGTCATGATCTGCATCTGTGCATCTATATATACATATATATATATATATATATATATAATATATATATATAATATAGGTATCTGGCTCTATATTCAAGTCCATATCGAGCCTGTCGAGAAGTCGTGGCGGGCTGCAGCGTGACGGCTGCGTCCGTTGGGACATTCTACATTCGAAAGCTATATCCCTCCGCCCCCCTCGACCTCTGCATTGACGACATAGGTTTAGCTGCTCGAGGTTGTCTCAACTCTGTCTTGCAGGGTCTCGAGCGTGGCACGGCTGAGGTCTAGGAGGCCATTTAACATCACTGACAGCGCAAGGTCTCGCCCGACAACGCAGGCGTCATCTAGAACTGTTCTAGGACTGGTCGCCTCCTGCATGGTTGGCTCGGCGAATCTGCCCGCCCTGGGGGGGCTTCGTCTGCGGTCAACCTCGGGATCGATGACTCAGCTAGCAAGCCTAAGAGTTGTCGCAATCATGATCGCAAACAACAGCGCCATCGTAGACAGTCCAATGAACCGGTACTGAAGATCGCTGGGCAGGAGAAGGTTCTTGGCATATCGACTCCTCGGCTTTTCGTTTCTGGTCCGCTCCCTGGCATCAGCTGTGGCGCCGAGGCCCGCCAGCAATTCGGAATTGCAGAGCATGCGAGTCGCTGCTGGTCACCGTCTCAAGTTGTCGAATGGCAACAGGTCGCTCACGACAACAGGCCAATGCCACTCCTTCATTTACTCTATTCCCCTTCTTGGGCTTCGAGCGGCATGGGGCATCTTTCTTGAAACAAGCCTGGGGGTCAACCTACCAATTTGTCTAATGTCTCAGGTCCTGTCTCAGCCCCTCACTTGTCTTTTCAAAAGCTCAAATGGTCCATGCTCGACTTTGTCACCATTAAAGGCCCCAGTGACGTCGCCATCCGCCTCGCCTTCGTGAGCCTGCCGAACCTCCTCAAGGACATTGCCCGACGACAGTGCGTTCGTTTGCTTGAGTGCAGCTCAGCCACCAACTGAGGTGGGGAGGGATAGAATCAAGTTTGCATGGTCGTCATCAACAGCCACTGTCGCAATGCGAACCTTCCCCCGCTCGGGTGGGGCTGTATCCGCAATCTAGGTTGCAATGGGGCCAAGGCTCATGGGCGTGCCGTTTCTCTTGGCTACCGCCTCCCAGACGATCGTATGGTGTGTCCGTTATGTGGAGTTGGACGTGATCGTATCCACCACAGGCTTTGGGCTTGCACTGCAAGTTCTGAGGAGAGGGAGGGTACTGTTAAGTCGGGCGTGCCCCCCTACAGGCGGATTTTGGATGAACAATGAAAATAATCAAAACATGTAACACGTGCTCAAACATGACCGAAACATCGTCCCCAGACTATCTTTGGACTATTTTTGAATATTCCTCCTGTAGAGGGATAGGCCTGAATTAAGGATGTTGCCACGGCCTCAAGTCGTTCCGAAGCGCTCGCTGACCTGTCGGATGGGGATCGCCTGCTCTCGTGTCGCGGGGCCTCTGAGCACCCCGAGGCTGCGTGGCCTCCCCCGCTCGCGATGGGGGGGGGGGGGCGCGGTGATCCGATCGGAAGGTTTTTCCCTGAAGGTGAGAACGGGGACGTGGCTGGTAACCCGTATGTTTAGGTCGGGCGTGTCCTCCTACAGGCGGATGGTAGACGAAACATGAAAAACAGTCAAAACATACCCCAACATTGTCAGACATAATAGGAAAATCGTCCCCTGACTATATTTTGGCTACTTTGGAATGTTCCTCCTGTAGAGGGACAGGCCCGACTTAAATGTATGTCGACGGTTCCTGCTGCAAGCATTCCGTTGCCGACCTCTGCCGTGCAGGTTGGGAGTTGCTCTCCCCTGTCCGTGGTCCTGCGCGCAGACCCTTGCCGCAGAGTGCACCAACAACTGGATTCGCTACGCCGTGCGTGGCCAGCCTTCAGACAATTGCAGATGCCCTGCATTTTTCTGACTGCTTGACCGTGGTTAAACATATTAGTCTGCCGGCTTCCGAGCGACTGTCCAACAGGCGCATTTTTGTTGTTGTTGAACATTATTAATTCTAAAGAATAATTATTGTTGGGCCCCCTGGTGCACGCCCCCCCCGCCGCGCCTAGGCCGCAGCTACATTTTCATCATTTTCGTGAGGAAGCCTCAGGTAATTCGATGTCATCCAGATCCGGTTGTTTTGTTCCCCCCCGCTTTCCCTTGCAAAAAACACTATAAAATGAAATTTCTTGTTCAATATAATCAAATTTCAAGAATCCCTTGCAAAAAATAAGGTAAAGTGGACATTCGCGCGCGCAAGACGAAATCCTTCCAAAAGCTTAGTGTTCGGAGCGATTTTAACATAAAAACATCAAAAAACCAATGGTTTTTCAACAAAAAAAT